AGAGAGAGAGAGAGAGAGAGAGAGAGAGAGAGAGAGAGAGAGAGAGAGAGCAAAATCAGTTATTTGCGGGCTAAGAACTGTATCAGCCCGTTCATTTTTCATAATCGATGGTCGCAAATGGTTGTTAGGATTGCACACAGGCACGTTCATTGGCATCTCCTCTTTTTAGGGGGCCGAACGCCAGCTTGGTTGGCTTGTTCCTGCCTGTCTTGCCTGTGTTTCCTTGTGCTCCGTTTTACATCTGTTCAGTTCGGTCTGGAATATTAGTTTATTTGAATTATTTGCCAGTATGATGTGTCTTCCTGGCTGAGTTGAGTTCACGCAGTTTATTAGGTATGGTTTGCCATTTGACAGGTAGCTGCTGTTAGCAGTAGCGTGTCAACATGGCTGTTCTTTAGGATAGGGCGTGTGTAAGAAGTGTGTCTCAAGTTCCCACGGCTCATATATGATTGACGTGCACAGGGCGAGGCCCCACGGCTGGTATGTGCAAAATGCTACTAGGCACGAACCTGGCGGCTCTTGCAGCCACAGCCAGATTCACGCTTTCCAAAGTGCGAAGATGGCCCCGGCAGGGCACGGCCCATCGCTTCGAGTAGTTGACAGTAGCGACTCGCTCTACGTGCTAGCACTTCCCTTGCAGTTCCACTTAGCACACGGTCATGGTCTTGCGCGAGGCAGAGTATGAAGACCTAGCTGCAGACATGGAAGATGTCTGTCGTCGCTGAGGCGGATGAATGTACGAAATGTGGTGGGCACAAGTGTCTATGCTGCAGATTCATAATTCTGTTGATCGTGCACAACCGAGAATGCGTAGGCGGATTTGCGATGCTGTTGATCCCGCACAATTGAGAATGCAGGAGGTGATGTAGCATTTGTCACACTAGCTGTGTGTTGCTGCTCTTGGCTGTTGCTATGTTAGAAGACTGGCATGCCTTCCATCTTTCTGGCATCGGTCGGACTAGCGGTGTGTTTGTGGTATGCATGCCTAGTCCTGGGCGGTGGCCATAGCTACAAAGGAGTAGGAGAGTACTCTGGACTGGAGAGGTTGGCGGTGGCGATAGCCACAAAGGAGAGAGAGACTTACCTGGGCGCCATAGATGGGACTTCATTCTGGTCTTGGACTGACCTACTTCAGCGATCTGCATCAGTAGAGTCATCATCCTTCACTGATCAGTATTCGTAGGCATCATCATCAGGAGAGAGAGAGAGACGGGAGGTGTCTGGAGCTCTTCTTCTTCTTCTTCTTCCTGATTCTTCTTCCGACGCTCATTAGCCACTACTTCCTCCTTATTACCCCCCTGCCCCCCCCCCCCCCCCCACCACCACACACACACACACACACACACACACACACAGAGACAGTATTTTGGGCCTGATAGTACCCAGGATTCAGATTCGACATTTGAGGAGACGATCGTTGGACTTTGCTGGGAGCGACTATTGTCAGCTAACTCGAGCTATTGTTCTTGTCTTGTCCCTTCTTTCTCCCACCTCCATCATCTGTGGTTCTTTTCCTCATATGTGTGTGAGCAAGGAGGGAGCTTTCATCCATGCATGTACGCCCGCTTTGCCCTGCTGCATGTGTGATGATGTCTGTGTGTCGAGCTCGGAGTCCGACTGAGTCAGATCATGATCTGAGTCTTCTGCTGTGCTACATTGCCTTACATTGTCTTGCTTTTGCTTCGCATTGCTAGTCTTTGAGTCTTTTGTTCACATTGGTGGTCTTTGGAGTCTGCGCACTGCCAAAAATCGAAGGGTCTGCTCACACTAGTTCTATGTGAAATGTACCTGACCGCATTTCCGCCCCGATTCTGAATGTATCTGACCGCATTTCCGCCCCGATTCTGAATGTATCTGACCGCAATTACGTCCATAAATAAGTAAGAAAGCCCTAGTGTGAGTATATGCCCAAAAACAGTTTTGGATGCCACTCCTCTTCATGGAAGTGGATCGCAGACATGTGACGAGGTTCTCTCACCTCAATGGAAACCTAACTTGTTTTCTTTTCGCATTCTTTCTTAGTTCACTTCCATGATTGTCTCTAACTCCCGTCTTTGCTTCAAACGACTGTAGTTGATTGATGGAACAGCGTGACTGTTGCATGACACCTCCATGGAAGAAGGGGCAACCTTTCATGGCAGTGTCTCCATCCCCTCCCATCAGGATGAGAAATCGTGATCTGTTTCATCAACTTTCATGGCAGTGAAATGTGTGTAGTAGTGTACCATTCGGTGACATGGGGGGCTGGTGACTTCATTCCTTAATTGATTCCACGAATCTCTCTACGGTCTTCACCCCCCAAATAGATAGAGCGCATGGTCAGTATAGCTGTATTTTGGCGAAACTTTCAGTCTAGACACGGCGATAATTGCTGTGTGTTGTGTATTGCACTCGCGCGAGGATGGTAGCTTTGCTGCTGTGCAATTAGTCATTGAAACAGAGTATCGGTACTGTGTTGATGTTCGTGCGTTGACAAGCAAAAGGCGGAGCGAGATTGGCGGGAGTGGCAGAAAAGTTTTACAGTGATTTATGTGAGCTGACGGAAACCCTTGGAATTTGGCGCATCGTGTGAAAGCAGATATGGCGGAAGCTTTGGCGATGGACATTTGGCCGAGGACCAAGCACAGATGGTAGCAGCAGTGGGTGCAGTTACAAGTACGCTGATCCGCCGCCGGAGGTCTTCGTTGAAAACTGGGAGCTTTTGACGGTGTACAAGGAGCCGAACTTTGGTCCCGGCCCTTCAACGGAGACATTGGTCATGACAGGCAGCGTATCTAAACAACAAATCCCAGTCAGTAGGTATCAACCCCATCTCTGGGAAGATGGGCATCTCTTTGCAGGTCTTCTGCCCTCATTCCTATGGTTAATTAACTATAAAGGAATGAACAAGTTACCGGTCAAAGGAAAGTAGCCTCGCTGGGACATCGCGATAACAAAATCATTCCTGTGAACGAAGCATTAGCCGTAGAAGATATCCCATTAGCTGATAGGGGGCCAGATGTTGGAATAGCCGATGCCATTGGAGGGCAATATCAGAATATCTCCTGCAGGGGCCTAGTTCTTGCCAAAGCGTCAAACCACCGCGTGAAAATTGCCAAAGTGGCTGCGTGAAAATTGCGGGATTACCGGTGGGCCCACGGTTTCGGCCTCCGGTCGCCACCCTCCCTCAAAACCCGCCCGAACTCACCGGGAGGGCTATTTCCTGGTGGCGGAGGGAGTGGTGGCTTAAACCGCTCGTACACGGCCACAGCCTTGCAGAAAGGAAACGCGCCGCCTGCTCCGGAAATTTTGGGGCCATATTGTCGCTGTTGATAAATTTCATCAGCGGCCTCTGTCGTGTTTCCGGCCTCTGAAAGTCGAGCTCAGGGGCAAGCGGGTGTACTGGTGGTTCAACCGAATACCACCTTACTCCACTGAATACAACACCCGTCCATTATAGGCGTATTTTGGTTACAACTTTCAGGCCAGATACAGATATAATGACAGGGCGCTGTGGTCTGGGGAGGAAGGTGGCGACGAGCCTTATGTTACACCCTTATATAACTTCGAAGTGTTAGACAGATTGCGAGCATTATCACAACAAGTCACCAGATGACAAGTCCCGAAGGAAGCCCCAATGTGACCACCTGGCATATAACAAGAGGAGGCGGGCCTGGCAATAACAGTACCATCGGTGAACTAACTCGACGGTCGGTGTTAAAAGGAGGAAATCCCGCTACCGTCTTCACCCGAATAGAACGTCCGGTCATTATAGCCGTACCTGGACTGAAAATTGCACCAAATACGACTATAATGACCGGGCGTTCTATTCGGGGGAAGACGGTAGTCGAGCAAGTATTGGGGCCCACAGAAAGTGAGGTATACTAGTTGGCTAGGATGTCCCCACTGTAACGCTGCATGAACTGGTCGCAGACTCAAAATATGAAACATGTCTGACTGGTGAGTTGACGAAAAGAAGGGGAGGACATAGCCAAGACTATACTCGAGACACTCGATAGGCCCAGCTATGGTGAAAAACATTTCTGACTGCGGAATTGGGCGAGCCTATCGAGCGTAGCAGAGGTCTGGTCTGTACGGCTTCCCAAAGCCAAGGCCAGACGTTGATCCTGACTCTACAAATGGTGGTCAAACTCTCTTTTGTTCTTTCATTTCTCTGTCTGCTGTTTGCCCATTCGTCTTCCAGTCCGTTGATGCATTGGTTCGTTACTCTCTCTCTCTCTCTCTCTCTCTCACTCTCTCTCTCTCTCTCTCTCTCTCTCTCTCTCTCTCTCTCTCTCTCT